GTCAGGTTATATCTACTTGTTGGCTGGAGGTGTCATATCCTGAAAGAGTGTTAAACAGTCCCTGATAGCATTTTCTACTATGGCTGCAGAGTTTATTGCTTATTATGAGGCATCCAATCAAGGAATTTGGCTGCCAAACTTTGTCACAGGATTACGTGTAGTGGATAGTATTGAAAGATTACTCAAATTATTTTGTGATAATAAGTCAGCAGTCCTATATTCCAATAAAAACAAGAGCTTAACAAAATCTAAACATATAGATATCAAGTTTCTGTCTGTTAAAGAAAGAGTACAAAGTGAATAGTTATCGATAAAGCATATCGGGACAAATTCCATGGTTGCGGATCTGCTTACTAAGAGATTGCTACCCAAAATGTTTTATGAGTATACTGCTCGTATGGGTGTCATGTTATTAAATGATATACAGTTTTAGTGGGAGTTTGTTATTTCAAATGTTCTTACGATATTTTCAGTTATTAAGGATTTAAGGATATTTTATGCATAAATAAAGTTTGGATTTATTTATAATCTGACTTTGGTATGGTTTGATCTCACGAAAATTTAAGGTGGATTAGTTGGAAATAGGCATGTTTTGATCACATTATATAAAATTTTCATGCTACACATCCACATCATGATTCATGTCATTCAATTGTATCGATATATGTGACCATTGATGGGTCGAGTTACGAAATTGTAACAAATGCCGCTTTGATCCTATATTGGTGTGATTGATGGATTGAATTGACTACAAATGTATTTTAGTAATGACAGTACATTTGAACTCATACGATTAATTGCAAAACATAATTATAAGGTTACACATATAGTCCAAGTGGGAGATTGTTGGATCCTTAATCCAACGTTGGACTTTTATGTGAATAATTATGGGTTGCAAACTGTCAAATAAGGTTAAGTCCATTTACAGTGATCAAATATGGTTTGGACTTGATGTATCTAATAGGATGTGGGCCTTTAATGTGTAGAGACTTAAGTGCTCCTATTTTTATGATGGACTGAAATAGGGTTCCAAAAGGTAACAGGAATGTTACCTATAAATAGGATTATGATCCTCATGTCACACGTATCATTCTATTTGTCGTATTTTCCAGTACCACAAAATATAGCTCTTCCCTGATATCCCATCGTTAGGAAAGATACCAGAGAGAAATTAAAGGATTCTCTTAAGGAACGGTAAATACGTGTTGACCTGGAAAACCGCTCTAAAATCTTCAAGGATTCAAGTGCCAGTTTGTCAACATGACTACAGGTACGCTTCCACATTTATATTACAGTTATATTCAAATATTTGATATTGGGATCCTGAAAATCTTACATTCAGCACCACGTTTGTCGTTGAATCTCTGGAGATGAGTTGATTTCCTCACCGCTTTTTCGTTCAGCAAAACTTGTTTTTGGTGTGGCTGCTGCATCCTCCATCGGATACCCTTTGTTTGTGCAATTAGAATTTCGCCTTTTTTGCTGCAATTCTTCTACTTCTGAGGAAAGCAGCACATGAAAAAGAAGGGGTGAACACTTTTTTTGAAAACACGTTTTTTGTTAAAACACTTTTTTTGAACGGGCGCTAAAACACTTTTTTCGAAAACTTGAATTATTTTGTTATGGGTAAAAAACAAAAAAGTCCCCTGTGATAAACCTAATACACAGAAAAGCCCCCCATGGTTTCAAAATATACAACACGACCCCTCATGCTTTGAACTAAATTGTAAAGGTGACGGAATCCGTTAAACTTAACGGAAATGGTCAAAATGACCAAAATACCCTGATATAATTCAACAAAAAAACAGCTCAAAAAATCATTTATTTTATTTTCTAAGTAGAGAGAATTGAGAGTTAAGGGGTAGAATAGGTATATTTGATAAAAATTAGGTATAAAAAATTTTTTTTAGGTTCCAATATGTCATTTCCGTTAAGTTTAACGGATTCCGTCACCTTTACAATTTAGTTCAAAGCATGAGGGGTCGTGTTGTATATTTTGAAACCATGGGGGGCTTTTCTGTGTATTAGGTTTATCACAGGGGGCTTTTTTGTTTTTAACCCTTTTGTTATTCGTTCCAAAATCCGACAGTAGCATTTTTTGCTCTCGGCAAATTAAGAAATCCTTCACCTCCCAACTTAGATTGTTTAACGGAGATGAACTGATGGAGCTGGTCAAATTTGCAGCATTTTGTTTTTCTTTTTTTTTTTTGGTCTCAAATGATGTTGTTGGTAAATCCAATTAAAACGCCATCATTTTGTTAAATTGCTCGAAATGGCACTTGCAAGACCCCGTGCGCTCTTACTTCCCGCTTAAGTTGCATGAAGACTAGCGGAGGTCATTTAATTAGGAGTGCAATTGGGCTTTTTGAGTCTAAGTTTTAGCAAGCTCAAGTTCGGCTCACAAATTATATGGGTTTTCGGGTTTCAGGCTAATAATATTAAAAGGTTCAATCTCTTTTCGCACTGTTATATGAGTTTTGGGTTCAAATTGGATTTGATCCAAACTCATAATTAAATACATAATTATATATGATATATATTTTATAGGGATAATTCATAAATCTCCCCTGCAGTTTAGGACAATTTCACTGAACTTCTTTAACATTTCAAAAATTATACTTACATCCCTTGATTTCACAATTTTTGTAACTAAAACTTAGACTTGACCAAAAATTTAAATGAACACTCTAAAATGCCCTAAGTTTATAAAGTTTATATTACTTTTCAAAATAATTATACAATATTTAGAACAAATATAAAGAAGAAGTATCACGTCTTCAATACCTATATTTATTATTTAATAAACAATTATTACAATAGTTTTTATCTCGTTGATAGACTACTGTCATGGTGCTTTGTTGGGGATATGTATTCTTTTTAAGTTGGAGAAGAAAGTATTGTGATAATTCTTTTAGACTCTCTCAATTTTAAAATTGTTGGAAAAGTTACTAGTTTACTAGTAGTTTTGGATAGTTTCTTTTTAAGTTATTCTTGCAAATGGAACTTAATAGCTAAAATGGATACAATTTTCATTGATTTACAAAATCAGAAACTTAGTTCATTAATTTATCATATGAATATACAAACTCACTTTTATTGTCCTCCGCATTTGGAAACTTTCCTAAATTAATTTTACTCTTACCAAAATATTAATACTTAAACCTATCTTAACAAGTATACCATATAAACAATTGTTTTGGAATATTAAATCTAGTTCAGAGATTTAATATTCTATGCATTAACCAAAAGTTGGATAAATTTTCAAACATTTGGAATTTTGGAAAGGAATTTTGGAAAGGCACTTGGGAAAAACAAAAATAGTGAAAAAAAAATCTCAAGAGTTGGGTTCAAACAACATCAAGTGTAAGAGCATCTTGGCACCTTTATTTTTTTTCTTATTTTGGTAGAACTTAGTACTTTAATGACAAACCTTGTCATTGTTATAACAAAAATTAATTGATTCTCCAATTTACATACCAAATTATATGAGTTCATCAATAATACCACCAAGAATAAACAAGATGACCATTTTACATTATAAAAACTTTTCATGGGAATATCCCATGTTTTCAACTAGAGCATCTAATTCTAGATCTTATTACTTTCTTAGGAGTGGGGAAATGGTGGGACTCGACAGTAATCTGTTTTTTTTAATAAGCGGAGATGGTTTAAGAGGACATGTGACACCTTTTTTTGGTAAAATTAGTGAAAGAATTTGTAACTTTCATTGCAAAAATGGTAACTTTTTGCAGTGAAGATGTAATTCTCATAAGATATTAAAGCCTACTGTTTTTAGGGCTAAATTTACCAATTTTATGGTCAAATTTATTACTATCTCCTTACCTTACTTTTTCTGGGACTTGGAAACCTGAATAACTGTAACAAAATGATCGCTTAAAGTACTAGTTTAGACTGCGAGGACCGTTTATAACCAATGCTTCTAGTATTTTATCATTAAAATATTCAAAAGTGTGGTGACGATGAGTCACTACAGTATTATCCTATTAAGTTACTGAATTGTTAAATACTAAATTTGATACATTTAAATGTATATCACATCAATTAAAAAGTGAATAATTTATCACTTATTTTTTGGAACAAGTTTTGTCTAAAAATTTTAGGGCCACTTAATTAATTCACATGTTCTAATTTTCATTCTCAAATACATTTGAACATGTTTAGATTTAAATTAATTAAGTTTAAATGTTGAATTGAATTATCAAATACAACTTAAGTTGGTCATTTTTAAAGGCCCACATGCCCTACACGTAACCAATTCCATAAGAATTTTTTAAATTTTCTGTTTTGAGTTCTAGATTGGCAAGAATGAGGGATTAAATTGGTAAAATTTATTGATAACAGACCACATTTGCCAAAACCCTAAAAATACGCACCAAGATGGTCGTTTTCCCAATTTCCTTTCTCTGCGACTTGTTTGCTGGTACATGATTGCATTCACAATAGTACCACCAACACTATTCCTTGGCAACGTAAATACGTAATTGAATTTCGAATGCTCGAGATAGAGAAGCTGCTTGTATCGATGGTTTTATTGCAAGCCATATGTCTTACCAGATTACCATAATCAGGCTAATGAAGATTTTTATGATATTTGGGAGATGTTTCAAGCTGGGGCAAAAACTTTGGCAGGGCAAACATTGTAAACAATAATTGACTTGAGGTAAGCTTTATGTGTATCAGTATAGTGGAAATACAAATCAAAGTTCAATGAAGTTATCTTCTTTTCGGGTGCGTGAGTTGCTCTATTCTTAAATGTAAACATGTAGTTGAGGATCTTGAATTTGAATTCCTGATCAGTAAAATTAGTGTTCTTGATCAGTTAAGCTGCCTAAAACGAAAGGCGATCTGTTCCAGCAAAAGAGAAATCCAAGACAATCCAGGGAAATTGTGTATTTCCAATACCAATTAATACCAATCACTTAGTAGGCCTCTGTCGAATGAGAAGGGTTTCCAATTAGTTGACAGTACTGTATGCTGGGTAGGACAATTGACCCATATACCATAGCCTTTCAGGCTCTCAGTTTGAGTTGTACAAATTTGCATGTTCCTGTCATGTTTTAGTGCAACTGAAACCCTTGTCATATAAAGCTGCTTCAAAATAAATGATCCAATCCATATAGAATTTACTGGCATACTTAAAACAGATCCTAGCACTACCCTTTGGTGCAGTTCGTGCACAGTTACTAAATACATTGTGCATAACTTGAACAGAGAACCCCATAAGCGCAAAATGATCAAAGACAATGAGGCGTGGGAAGACGGAGGCGTGGGAAGACGAAGTCGTGCAAGTAAGAATCAGAAAAAGAAGAAATGATGCAAGGATTTTACTAGTCATCACTGATCAGAGGCTTTCGATGTCGAAGAGACAAAGATTTCATTTACAACTTCATTTATCTCATCAGGCTTGATGGTTCTTCCCTTGAGGAAATTGGAGTACCAGTGTGCTGAGAGCTTTGGGTATCTTTTCAATTGCTTGTCGTCCAAATCAACGTAGTACAGGCCGAAGCTGGTTGTATAGCCGCCTATTGGCTCGAAACCATCTAGCAAAGACCAGAGGAAGTACCCTTTTGTATTTGATCCATTTCTTCCCAACATTTCAAGATTCAAAAAAAAAAAGAGGAGGTCAGAAAAGTCGACATTTAAAATGGTGAGAAAAGTCATTTCAGAAATAATTTCAGTGATACAGTAACCTTATGCATTTAGTCTAAAAAGTTGAGCAGAACATTCCTTGCTGCATGGCTTCGATGACCAATTTTTGGCAGAATAATTTGTGAAATAGTTAATGAAGAAATTGAAATCTCAAAACATGGGGAATATGTAAAATTTAGCTCATACAAATAGCAGTCAACACACAGTTGAAGTGACCCTAATTCAATGTTGCACAGGCTTACTTTATAGCATCAAGCAAGGTCCTGATATATGAATACATATATTTCACCCTTGATGTGTCGTTTAGTGTTCCATTGCGCTCAGTTCCTTTACCTGTCAAAAACAGTCAAGCCACGAGAATCTGAAACTATTTGCAATCATATTGAACAAGAAAAGAGCAAGAGAAATAAGCTAGATAGTTGCAAACATCTGCTGATTATAAATTCATCAGATGAGAATGCATTTGTGGCAGAGCTCAGCCGGCCAAAAAAGTTGCACAAAGTACAAGAGCACCCTAAACTTAATGCTAGAAACTTAGAGAGCTAAAACCATGCATATATATCCACGAAGAGGAACAAATCCAAAAGGAAATGATAATTCTCAAGTAATATATTTTTAGTGGTGGTATAATTAGGTTCGCAGGTTAAGTGATCACTTCATTTCTCTTTTTTGGTGAAAAAACAGATGTAGTACCAATCATGTCTAGCGGAGGTACGCATTTGTCAGAATCAGGTCACTAGTACAGAAACATTTGGAAAATGACTAGAGAAGATGCAGGTTAATGCATCCAAGCAAAGGCAGATATGCGTGAGAGAGAGAGAGAGAGAGAGAGAGATAGAAAGAACCATTTTCATGGATATAAGTAGGCAAATTGGCATATACATTCCTGAGATACTCCAGAATTCCGGATAGACTGGATGATGTATCATCATTCTGTGCCAAACCGGATGGTAATTAACACAGGACCGAAATGAAGAGCAGGATATCTTGAAGTAAAACTGTTAATCCCAACCTGATTATCTGGTGCATCTTCTGGCTCAACTGAAGAAAAACAAAAAGACACAGTAATAAGTAAATTTAATCACAATATCTATAGGGAAACAAAAGTCAACATAGAGATATAGATTTTTGAAAGAAGGAGAAGCACTAAGAATTCTCAGATGAATCCAAGGTTGTAAACTAGTTCTCATAGAACTAATAAACAAGGCTTTGCAAAAGGATTTGATCAGTTGATTCACTCAGCAAAATCAAATCCAGCAAGGAATAAGTACAATGCAAGCTCACAGCACATGTGCGACAGATACCCAGAGTGCTTAATCCCATATCAGCAACTATGTCCCTGATATTCACATTAAGGCTGCTAGGACTGTCCTTGACGTAGAGTGTTAAATAATGGTTCAGCCCTATAAAGTCGAATGAGCCCTTAAGTAGCCTAGATTCACGTGGAGTTAGCGCTGGAATCTTTGTGCCAGCATTCTTCTTTATGATGTCAGGATAGTCTCCAAACACCATTGGATGGAGAAACCTGCAGTCAAATTGTGGGTATACGATAAAGCAAGCTCATATTTTACTTAAAGCAGAAAAATGCAGAAAGCATCTTGCTGCTAACAAGAAATGATGAAATGCATAATTAAAGCACTTATCTACCAAAGATTGTCTACTCACCAACCAATGTAAAAATCAATGGCTCTTTGAGTTGCAATTATATCTTCTGTAGCATTAGAATATGGAGAAAACCAAGGAGCGTAGATGTTTAGTCCCACAAAACCATGTTGAGTCGCCTGATATAGAGGTTCAACATCTGTTAATTGACTTACTTCACCTGATATGTTCCCAAATATGAAGATAAAAAAAAAACCACTTAAAAGAATTCTAAACAATAGCATCAATGTCCTATTGTCTTATTCTTCCTTGGCAGATGCAAGGTGGGAACTCAATGATCAAACTGCATGATACTACACACATTAGTGGGAGTGGCAGAAGGTGCTTTATTACTGAATTGCCTTTCCATTTTCAGACCTATTAAGCTGCCCATTTTCCAATCCCGACAGGTGATCTGAAGCGTATTTGGTCTCTATTCCAAGCTATTTTTCTATTCTTCCAGCTAAACCAAGTCCCAGGAGCACTTGCAACCAATCGTTTTTTTTTTCCCTATGAGACAAATGTAAACTGACAGAATGTTGATAATTTACCTCAGAGTAAATTGTGATTTCCTTGATTAAAATCGAAGAGGTGACAGATGAGTTTAAGGACAGAATTCTTTCAATGTAAATGACTACACCAGAGCCAGCACATAGCTGAATGACTCCAATTAGCAAGTAGACAAGCATCTAAATATCTGCTTGGACACTTAAAGCCACAAGTATATACAATAAGTGGCAAAAATACGCTTACGTAAAAGATGCTTGTCTAAGTGATAATGAAACTGTGACACTTAAAGTACAAGAGCGCATTCCAGGTGCATCACTGGTTAGCATTAATTTAAATTCACAATGCTACAGAGTATCAATAATGTAGTAGCTTAACAAGGTTGGGATAACACAGTGTTCTGGACAAGATCCACCACATTTCCATCCCTATCTCTATAAAAGTGAATCGGAAGATTAACCTACTCTGTAAATTCATCTCTAGTATTTTCCAGTTAACACCACTAACTAATAATAGTTTCCATCTATGATTACTTATTAATCACAGTGCCACCTCTGTACATGCAGAGATGTATATGGTTGGACATGGACTATGAGTTTATCGAAAACGATAGTCCATTAGGATCAATGTGACAAAAATCATATTTCAATCGCAGTTGTAGAGCTTTCAAGATACTGATTGCTGTTTATGTGAAAAAAATTATGAAATAGGATATTATAGTAATACCTTATGCTTTTTGTAGTATAGCTTCACAGCAGATGAATGTGCCAGCAACATGTTGTGACCAGCAATATATGGCTCAGTTATGGAATTACCCTTGGAGCAGTTCAGTCCAAATGGAAAAGAGCAGCGCCCTGGGGGTGAGATTCCATTATCATAACCACCCATGGCAAATACATTACCCTCATTTATGGTAGTCCAATACAGAACCCTGTCTCCAAATTCCTTGAAGCACACATCAGCATAGGCGGTAAAGTCGTTCCTGAAATAATAAACAAATAAGTGTTTAGATCTGATACCATAAATAAGCATCTATGCTTTACAATATAAATCATATATAAAACAAGCTTAAATGTGAATGGATCAAAGTACAAATATTAAATACTTACACTATCTTCCGACTGAGCCATCCCCCATATTCATCTTCAAGAACTTGAGGGGTATCAAAGTGAAAAAGCGTGACATGTGGCTGAATTCCTATGCGTTGGTCCAACAGTAAAGTCGCATTAAGATGGAAAGAAATTTGAATAGATTGTACAGCATTTTGGAAGTTTATCTCCATGTTCTTGGGAAGATAAAGATTTGTCAATATGATGTCATTATCCATGAGCGGATTCCCTAGAAGTGCTTAATCATTGTACAGGATAAGCTTACCATGCATTAGGAGTTCATTAATAAGATTGTTGTAATATTCTAAACCTTTGGGGTTGACACGGCCTCTTCCATCTGAAAAGAGAAATTATAAAACAAGGTATCAGAAGAAAGAAATAAAGTGTGCAGTGGTCTTGTATAGGTAGTACAGTAGAACTCAACATACCAGGAATAAGTCTTGACCAGGAAATAGAGAATCTGTAAGCCTCCAGACCTGTGTCTACCATGTGTTGAACATCTTCCTGAAACAGATATATTCCTAAAGTGAACTGCATCCTTATGTTAACAAGATAATGAATGATTTTATCACTTAATATCCACAAAAATTTTTATACCATTAAGAAGATTCAAGTAGCAGGCTACTGAGATCCACGTAACTAACAATGTAACACCTTTCAACCAGCAAATACATTTAAGTACCAGTCTAACGGGGCAGAATTCGGTAATACTGCAGGATGTTCGATATACATATGGATGGAATCAGGAATAGCCGAGGGTGAATTCTTAGTTTGCGAGCTCACTGAGAGCCAAGACAAGGAGGAAATCATGCAAATATTGAAAATACTTCATGCAAGATGGTTCGGCAGCAGGCTCGCGGCACAGCCTTTATGGTGTCTGATGTAGTTTCCTTTCATCCGACTGCAACTACTGACTTGAACAGTCAACACTTAGACTATAGTAATAAAAATTCTAAACATTTTCCATCTTTTAGCCGCAAAAATCCTTATGTTTAAGCACAAAACAAATTAGATGAAAGGATCATGCGAGCATCAAAGAACAGTTTTTTCTTCAACAACAATGCTTCTGCAAATTTCGATGCAGAAAAATCATGCAAAGCTTCAAACAAAACTAGTGAACCTATCACCCCAAATACCCCTTAACACTGAACACTTCAAATGAAACCAGGGTTATTGATTATAAACACAAATCTCAGCAGATCAGAACTTGCGGCCAAACAAAGACAACCAAACAGCAACTGAAGTAGATAAAGTTTCAAAGCCGCAAGTCTGAACCAGCAAACTAGGAGTTCATGCAAAGAAACATTAAATTAGAGCTCGCATTTGCGGAATGCGAGCTCAATAAGTAGAGCTCGCATTTCGCGAATGCGAGCTCTATTCTAACCTCGCATCCCTGAAATGCGAGCTCTACTGAGCTCGCATTTCACGAATGCGAAGATCCCCCAAACGGAATCCATTACCAAAATCACCTCTTTTGTAGAATTTTTTTAAAATTCATCACAAAATTAGAAATTTCTCGAATAGCCGAGGCATGAACATTTAGTGTGATAATAATGATGATAATGGTAGCAGGTTGTTTTGTTTTGCTTAACGAGTTTGTCTTTGGTTGAATAGAGCAACGTCCAGCTATGCTGCTGCTCACTGTTGCATTGCTTCTTAGTAAAACAACTATATAATGCCCTAAAAGAATTGTTATCAGAAAAGAGAACAGGTTGCATTTGTAATTGTACGTACAAACTACAAAGTTGACATTCAGATGCTTCATCTGCTTGGGATAATAGTGAATATAAAAGGACACTGTTCACCAACCAAGTCACAAAGTTGAGAACTACTTTAGATTCCTTTGTTCAGCTTTGGTAGGAAGAGGTGGAAAGAAGAGAGATAAGAATTTGATTCAATATCTGATATTATCAGCAATTAATTTTGGTGTATATGAAGCATAAAAGTATATCTCATTTTTTCTGGTTTTAAGTGTAACAATCTGCTGCCAATTAAAAAGTTTAAATAGCTTAACTTAAAGCTTCTATGCTCAAATATTAACCATTAGAAAAACGGATTTCATAGAAGACCAATTACTTTCCACTACTATAAAAAATCAAAAGATGGGCAGGCTAACAAACATCTAATCATCAACTAAGTCTCATATTTGGGGGATCAGATGCCACAGCCATTGGTCTTTCCAACTGCTCAGGACAATGTAGAAACTAACACAACAAAGGAAGTCGATACTAAGAAAACAAGTAAAGATACTAACTATAAACATGTACACCTGCACAATTCACCCATGTGTCTCTCAGCAATAGAATATTTTCAATCTCCACCTCACATAATTCATTTTAGGAGATAATTTCCACTAATTGTCAGCAGAGCTATTTAGGAACACCATTAGATGAAGTTAGATTTGCTATTGAAGTTCCAATGCCACCACTAGGCCAGAAAGCCTAAAACATGACTGAAATGTTTACCTTGTATTTGTGATACTGATCACAAGCTATGTCTCCGGAGGCTCCATGAGAAAGCCCTGAACATTTTATTGGTGATTAAAGCCTAAGTTACAAATTAACAAAACAATAAATAAACTTTAAAAAATACAAAATTTGAGTTTTTCTGATTAACTTCTGCCAACTCGTCTCAGTATACCTAATTTTCGTCCAACTCACCATTTGAAGCCCAGTCATTTCTCTTAACACTTAATTTTTTTCTTTTTCAAAAAAGCTAACACCTAAAACCTATGACTATTGGTACCCAATAGTCATACCCAAAAAATTTATTTTTCGACAAACTTACCCTTATTGGCATAAACGAAGGTATCCCAAATGCTAGGCGTCCTTCCATCTTCACGGGCAGCCCCCTCTACCTATACATATGCATATGATTATCATGTTACCGTATTCATGTTATTCATTATACACTATAACTACTAATCCTGTTCCAGAAAAAGAACTAGGTGTGAAGGAATTAAATCAAATGAAACGGAGAAACCACTGACTTGAAATGCTGAACTGCCGGCACCAAAGATAAAGTCAACTGGGAAGTCTGATCTTGTAAAATTCTCCACTCTGGCTATTGCCATTACAGCCAGAAGTTGCAACAGCATTAGCAACATTAGCAGTATAATCAGAGGAGCAGAAGAATCCATAAGACTCCTCTGTTTCTGTTTCCACATGGTGTCTAAGTTTACACTCCACAGACCTAGTATGGAGGAGTTGTTACCTTGTCAACTCTCTGGTTTCTAAGAACTGAAGGAAAATATTTTAGTTGCACAAGCTCCCGGATCTGCATGGACACCAAGGAAACACAGTTCCTGTGCTCAGCTGCCCACTTAAATAGTTAAATTTTTGGAGATTTAACAAATTGGACGTGCCGCAAATTTTGAAGCTCTTTTTTTTTTTTTTTATGACAACTCAATAGTATGGGTGGGTTTAACTTTAATCACCGTTATGAGTCAAGATATTTGCCTCGAAATTCTATGTCATGTATAGAAATTTACACATGATTTTTTTGTAAGAAATTATTTCATTTTTATCAAGTAAATCAATTTGTGCTAGTTCAAATTTTAAATCTCTAAAACTGACGTAATATATAGTTGTTCTGCGGTGTGCCCCTTACTGCCCTTAGGGTGCATGATGGGGTAGGTAGTGCTTTGCCAACAAAAGTTTAAAATTTCTGACACGTAATTTGTAAGCAAAATACATTATCTCAATGTGGTTTCATCTGCGGTGGAAGCTGAGTCATCTGTCCATGGTGGGAAGAACAAAGGAAATGAGGACAACACATCACTGGAGCTAAACAAAGGGACAACATGAAAAAGAGATACCGGAGACCGGATAGAACAATGTGCCAATAATAATCAAAAAATAAGAGTGCATTTTGCTCGGAAGACAAATTGCAAAATCCACCTGTTGCCTAGCTGATCCCAGTTGTTGTCCGAGTTCAAATGTATGTTCATCTCCACTCCTCACCCGAGCTGCGCTGACCTATTAAAATTTACTTGTCTGAGACCATTTTTTAAATATTGCCTCCATACTCACTCCTGATCACCAATTTGGGAAATTTATTCAATATGCCTTTTGTTTTACACAAAAGAGTATTTAAATTTTTTTATTATTATTTCAAGTTACGGGGTGGTACTTATCCATTATAAATAAATTTTTCAAAATTAACGATTATGTATATCCAATAATGGAGTTCAATTATTTCTCAATCTATGCAATATTCAATAGAAGATTTTGGGGGACTAGTAGTTGCCGCTAGAGCTGTTAATCGAGCCGAGTCGAGCTGAGTATTTGGCTGCCGAGCTCGACTCGAGCTCATTAGGAAAACAAGCTTTAAAATGTGTTCGAACTCGGCTCGTTAAATGTACATGTGGCTCGAGTTTGACTCGTTTATCATAAACGAGTCGAGCTTTACGAGCTTGAGCTCGAGCTCGTGCAAATTAACCTTAATAAAAACCTATAATTTTTAAATTTTATAATTTTGATTTCTAAAATGATAAATATGCCCTTCATTAACGAACTCTAACGAGCTATTTGAGTATCAAACGAGCCACTTGAGTATCAAACGAGCCGAGCTTACTCGGCTCGTTAACTAAACGAGCATGTTTCGAGCTCGAGCCTTACCGAGGCGAGCTCTAACGAGCTTTCGAGCTACTCGATTGACTTAACAGCTCTAGTTACCGCCTTCTCAAATGAAAATTTGGAGTTTGGTAGTTGCGGGTTAGATCGAAATTTTTTTCTTTAAATGTTGACGCCTTTAGATTGAAAATTCGGACTCTAAACTGAAAATTTCGAATTTAAATGATAGCGCCTTTAAATTAAAACTTTGTATTCTAAATTCTAGAGCCTTAGGATTGTTTGACTTATCATCAGCATATGTATATATACACACACACTTGCTTATATATACATGTAAGTTTATCCTACTCTCGCATGACATTTTGTATATAAATCACATAATCTTAGAGAAATGGAAAATGAAATGAGAGAAGTAATTCATGAAGCCAAAAAGTTATTAATTGCATCAGGATTTCCAGATTCCCTCGACTAGGAAGACACGGTATATGAATAACTGACGAAAGCAATAAGTTGTTAGTATTATGAATAAATATTTAATTAGAAATTGGATGAAAATTAGATTTTGCTTATGCATGTAAGAGTTAAGTCCGTACATTTAAAAAAATTTAATAGGAAAGAGGTAGGATTTAAGAAATAGTGGGTGGGCAGAGGAATTTGAATCTAAGATCTGTAATTCTTGGGTCTCAACTTTATGGTCCTTATCTGCCTATTATGCATTTTATGATAAATTATCATACATGAACTACCATCTGATCTAAAAAGGAAAAAAAAAAAGGTTCCCGTATATTGTTTAAACATAAGTAACAATATTTTATTAAAATAAAAAATTAAAGACATATTATTTTAGTAAATAAATTTTTTATCCAAATCAAAAAGAAAAGACCCAATGAAAATTTGTACCATAATATAAATGGTAATTGTGGCGAGTTTCAGTTGATGAAATATTACAAGAGTTAAAATGGATTTGTGTATTAACATGAGAAATCATTTACACAACAATTGAAAAGGTTTCTTATTTTTCAAAATAAGAAGAAAAAAAGAGAAGGGGAAAAGTAAAAGAAAACAAAGTAACAATAAATGTGTCTAACAAATTTTAAAAATACTTAGTGGATTTACTTAACCCCATGAATAGTTGAGTTTTAATATGCATTTAGATTTAAATGAGTCATTCGAATCCACTGACTCAAAACTCACTGAGATTAGAATTCAATTTAAATTTTGAACATGTGATACATGACATGTAATCTAAATTTGAATTTAATTTGAAAATTTGTACATGTGATGCATCCACGCGACTAGTATATCTATTATTAGCAGAGGAAAGATTTGACCATTTCTATACTATCTATATAAATTATAAAGTCAAAGGATGGAAGCATTATCGTGTCGTGTCAACACACATTTAATATTTTCTAAACTTTCATTTATATCCTTAGAGTATTTAATTATTTTCTCTCAAATACTAGGGATGTAATCGAGTCAAGTCAAGGTCGAGTATTGCTATACTCGAGCGCAACTCGACTCATATGTACCTAGGCTCGAGCTTGACCGAGTCCAAATAATCGATACTCGAGACTTGACTCAATGAACTCCCTTTAAACTCGAGACTCGACTCGATAAGGCTCGACTTTTATGCAAGCCTTATCAAGTCGAGTCTAATCAAGCTTTTTGACTTGACTTAAAAAATGTACACTTGTAAATTCAGTATAAATTATACCCATAAAGGTCATTTCATAATTATAATACATATATATTATTTAAATTATATATATTAATTTAATATATCCGACTCAACTAGCTACTCGTCGAGCCACAAGCTGCAGATTCCTGACTCGAACTCGACTCGAAAGTATATTCGAGTGGCTCGAGACTGTGCTCGAACTCGATTTGACCGAGTTCAAGCCAAGTCGTTGACCGAGTTACTCGCATGGCTCGGCTCGCTTACATCCCTATTCAAGGGTGGCTTTGTTAATTAGTTGGTTACATACCCTTCTATTTTCTATTTTTAAATAAGAACTTAATTTATGTTAGTAATTATCCAATTGAAATCAAGTACCAAATAACAAAACACTATATAAAATTACCATATCATAAATATCCATTACAGAAACTAATTTTTATAAGAGTAAATCTTATATACACTGATCTTTAAAATGACCTTTAAAATTTTCACAAATGACCTTTAAAACCTCTATAAATTAGTACTCGATGAGTTAATAACTTCTATTAAATAATAAGTTTTTGATTTTGACTTGGTTAACGAGTTAAATTAATAATTTTGATAAAATAGTAAAATAATAATTTTTTGAAAATCCTATATAACCGTTTGATTCTATTCATATCATAAATTAATAATGACTCTTACTGTCCTGTTTGGGACATTCTTTATTCATTTGACTACCCAACCCAATTTATACTAGTATTTGCCGTTAGCCCCTTAAGATGAGCAAGCAACGATATCTAGACAAATGTCAATTACAATCTTGTGTTCAAATTAATATACATATCCAAACAAATACACTTGACGATAAAGTAAGAAGGTGAGACCCATTTAAAACACAGCCATTGTTTAGAGTAGTTACAGTAGTTATATTGGCAAAATGTGATTAAGTAGTCAAAGCAAAAATTAGTTTTTCTTTAAGGATAAAATAAAAAATTTTAAAAATGACATAAAAAAATTTACACTAACTGCGATCTCTCTAACTTTATATGTTGAATAGATAGTAACTTTTTAATTAGAATCAAAATTATAGATGATTTATTAGAAACATAATTAACACAGTACTTCAAGAAACTAGAATCATGACATAATTGACCAAGTAGATTTTAATTTAAATTTAGAAATTAGATAAGTAATCTTATATGTAACATGGTGACTTTTAAATTAATATCGAATTTGTAGATGAGTAATCATAAAGTTAATTAACATAGTACTTCAAGAAACTAGAATTGGGATTGTAGATAAAATAATCATAAATTTTAGAAGAAAATACTCTCCTCTTTGAATAATAAAAAATTTAGAGTGGCAAGTATTAATCTCTTTTTCCTTGGTAATTTTATTAATATTGAAAAATATATATAAAGATTAAAAGGGGGGAGAGGGAGTGAGAGAGAGAGAGAGAGAGGTCAATTTTTTTTCAAAAAATAAAAATAAGAAAGAATTAAGTATTTTTATTATTTTAAAATCATTTTATTTTTCTGTTTATCACTCAATTCTAATCCTAATACCGACAACTTTAAAGTAATACGATAATGTTAGAATCTTCTTTATTTTCTTTCTTTGCATATTAGCTCATTTAATCAGACTAAGAAACGACAAAATTGGGAACTGCAAATTGAACCCAAATTCCATCCCAAATCCGTCATTCAAATCTGCGGAGCAGCAACATCCATCAAGAAGAGGTACAAATTGGAGGGCAGGTCTGCAATTTTCTTTCATCCTACGGCCTCGGAAGCTCTTGCCAAAAATTTGAAGCGCCGAAAAGCTGCAAAACGGAGACCATTATGTTGATGGTACATGTATCATTCGGTGAATGAGGTAAGTTTTCTGATGCTTTTGTCCGGAGCTGAAAGAAGATGGCTTGGAGCCCGTAGTTATCTCCAAATGTTATTTTGATTTTTTCTTTTTCTGGTGAAAAAATTACCCATAGCAATGTATTTATAGAGGAATGACAGTGTTTTCCTATGGCTCATAGCAAAAATCCTATGGTTCATATTGAAAAAATCATTTAATACGTCTTTCATATTTTATAAAATAATTTTTTCGTTTCTCATTTTTTAAAATATAATTTTACGTCCCTTACAAATTAACATGATCAAA